AAAAAAAAAAAAAAATGTCATTTGTGGGGCCGGCCAGGTAGCTCAGTTGGGTAGAGCGTGGTGTCTACATGGTGTTGATAACCCTGTGGTCAAGGGTTTGGATCCCCATACCAGTCAGCCAACAAAAAACCCCACAAAAGTGTTGTTTGTTTCAACTTTGGGAATACTCATTTTTGTTGTATCAACTTTAAAAAAAAAACATAAGCAGATGGGCGGGCAGGGGGTTGGTGTGGCCTCCACCTTGCCTGTCTGTAATCAGGTGTTCGGCTTTCCCTGGATTTTGCCATCACAGCTGAGTCCACAGTTGGGGCGCTCCTACGTATTTCTGCCAAGTCCTTTTCTTAGACTGTGGGTGGGATTGCAGGGGTTAGGGTCGTCCAGGGCACTCTGCAGATTGGCTGTGCTGTTTTTCCAAGGGCTTTATGGTTTCACAGTGAGCACTGGACATGCATGGGTTTTCTCTTTTTCTGTTTAACTTTTTGGGAGGTTGGCACCCAAATCATATCCTGAGCCTTCTCATCATGTTAGTAATTTGCACTTCCCTAAGACAGGAACCTCTCCCTGTCTGTCCTGCCCATTCTGTGTGTTCACTGTGACTCGCACCCGCCAGCCTGCTGTTGGGCGCCAGATGCCAGTCGGCAGGTGCTGGTGGGGGCGAGGGCTGGTGGCTGTGGAATTCTACTCAGTAATAAAAATGGACAGGGCTGGCCAGTTAGCTCAGTCAGTTAGAGTATGGTGCTGGTAACACCAAGGTCCAGGGTATCCCTGTACCAGCCAGCTGCCAAAAATTTTAAAAATGATATCCTTTCTTAAATGCAAAGAGGATGTGTTACATCTCTCACACACACACACATACACACAAATCTGGATTACGAGGAAACAGGGCCTGGTCCTCGAGGTAAGCTGGGTGCTTGCCCACTGGTCAGTCTGCTCTTCCCGAGAAATGTGTTCACATCCGCTTGTGCCATCGGGTGTAGGGACACCGAAGCCTAAGTCATTCAGTGGTGGCAAGTGCAGCCTCTGAGGAGCGATTTCAGGGCAACGTTGGTTAGGTAAGCACTGGGGGCTGCCCAGGGGCTGGCACCGAGGCAGTTTCACCCCCAGACCTTGGGTGTGCTGGTGAACGCCTCCTGTGGCCCTCAGCTCCAGAGTCTTTCGTTGTGTGACAGTTACGGCATTGTGGCATCTGCACAGCCGCCCCCTTGGTCTCCTCCGACACTGCTGCTGGGTCATGGGAACTCAGTTATCTTCCTGTGGACACCACCCCAGCTCTTTGGTGGGTGGTACCTTGGGTCCAACTCATGGCAGCCAGAGATGGACAGAGCTGGAATCTTGACCTTATTTTACTGGTGAGGACAGGAGACACTGGATGAGTCCTGCGCGGGCACCAACGTCCCTCCCCCCAGGGCAGCACATGCTCCAGGCTGCCCTTACCCTGTTGGGAGTACACGGGCAGAAGGCATCTCTTAAGACTTTCCAAGTCGTTCCCCATCTGGGGACCATGCTGGCCACAGTTGGTGTTTTCCCACTGTCCACTCCTGAGAACTGACCTAGAGCGATGGGGGTCGCAGTGACCACTTTCTGAGCAATGCAGCACCCAGGCCTATGCCCCACTGTGTGTTTCCCATGTAGTCTCTGGAGCTGGTATGGAAGGCATCTGCTGGCCCCAATAATGAACAAGGAAACTGAGGCTTAGAGAGGCTTGGGGGCCGCCCCAGACCACTCTGCAGGTTGCAGGGCCCCGCCATGCGGCTTCTCGACACAGGTGGATGCTCGAGGTGCCCCTCGCACCCCCTTGATTCCTGCCATCGGGTCTCGTTGCAGAACACAGCCAAGGAGGACTTCAAACAGGCCATCGGCTGGTGTGTTTCCCTTATCACTGACTACCGTGTGCGGTTAGGTATGTGGGGGGGCTCCGCGCACTGAGAGCTGGAGGGGTAGATGCAATGTCGGCATCCACTACAGGCAGCATGGCTGAGGGGCAGGCGCCGCAGGCAGGCAGGCAGGCAGGAGCCGAAACACTGCTATAGACAGGAGATGAGGTTTCCTTCCAGTTTCATTCCCAAGTCTGGCTGTTGGGAATTTATAAGTTGGGGCAAAAATATGCTGTGGTTCTCAGGTTACCCCCCAGAGACTTGCGCTCTTTCCCAAGCCACGGGAGCCACGTTCCACGATACTGTCTTGTCGGAAGGGGCATCTGGGTCAGGCTTAGACCAGAAAGCCACAGAGCGAGGCATTTTGATCTCACGAACCTTGAAGGTAGCTCCAAAGATGTGTTCTCATTTCTAAACATGGCTTCTCTCCCTCCCGCCTTACAGGTTGTGGTTCTTTTGCTGGCTCTTTCCTGGAATATTACGCCGCCGACATCAGTAAGTCCACGAGCACATCTTTGAAAGTGTGGCCTGCTTTTTTAGCCCTTTGGAAATCAGAGTCTCCTCCATCTAAGGCTGTGGAGGGGATACATTGAATCCTGAGCAGAATCATGGGACCCACCAGATTTCCATGGGACTCCCAGGGTTCCCCAGAGAGGCAAGGCACAGGCTGCCTGCTGTAGCGCCTGCACGGCCACCCGGCGCTGGTTCCCTGGTCTGTCCTCAGGCCCCTTGCCCCATGGACCACATCCCCTCTGTCTTGGTCGTGGCTGGTGCCCCATGTCAGATATTATAAGAATGTTGTCTCAAGGCTAATACGTATGGCATATTTCCTTGTCAACCCAGTGTTTTCAGTTAGTGACAGTAACAGGGTTTTCCATTCCCCCTAGGTGTTAAAGGAGTGGGAACATGAATTGATTCTTCAGCAGGGCTGCGTGGGGCGGGGGCGCTTCTCTGCTCTTGGGGTTAAACTTGGCTAAAAAGCCAGTTAGGGGAGAAAGATCAGGTATCAGAGGACATGCCCCTCACCAGGACTCACACCTTCCCTGTGTGGCTGTGGCATGAGGCAGACACTGTGCAGTCCAGGCAGCAGTCGCAGGGTTGTGCTTCCTCTGCAGGTTATCCCGTCCGGAAATCAATCCAGCAGGATGTCTTGGGGACCACGTTTCCCCAGCTGAGCAAGGGGGACCCTAAGGAGCCTGTGGCAGGGAGTCCGCTAGGGTGGAGGCCTCCCTGCCGCAAATTGCTCCCTGACCGCGCACGGGCCGCCCGGGACCGTGCCAACCGGAAGCTGGTGGAGTACATTGTGAAGGCCAAGGGTGCTGAGAGCCACCTGCGGGCGGTTCTGAAGGGCAGGAAGCCATCACGGTGGCTGGAGATGTTTCTGAGCTCGAGCCAGTATGTGACCTGTGTGGAGACATACCTGGAGGACGAGGAGCAGCTGGACCTGGTGGTGAAGTACCTGCAGAGAGTGTACCAGGAGACGGACAGCAAGATGCGGACCCATGTGAACGGGGACAGGATACGCTTCATCCTGGACGTGCTCCTGCCCGAGGTGAGTTACTGTTGGGGCAGAGCCTGCGTGGGAGGGGCGGGGCGGCCTGCAGGCCCAGGGCTGATCTGGTGCTGGGATGTCATCCTCTGAAATTCTGCCCGTGGAGGCCACTGCCTGCCTCTGTTTTGCAGGCGCTGGAGCGGGTTGGGTGTTTAAATTCCATTGTCAGTGCTGGGGTATGTGCATGCTGCATGTGTAGACAGTACCTGTTTAGAGTGGCAGTTACTCAGGAAAAAAGTTTCAATCTCCTCAACACACGTAGGTAGACCCTTGAACTTCAGCTGGGGATTCAGAGCTTGGTGAGGAACAAACACAGATTATTTTGAAGTTCATATTTGAGATTTCAGAGAGGGCACCGCTGGGCATACCTGTGCATCTGTGGAATGGAATATTACCAAATTCAAAGTTGTATAACTTTATAATTGTGTAAAATTTCAAATACATGTAAGAACAAAACCGCGCAATGAGCCCTTATGTGCATATCACCCCCTGGGATTATTTTTTTGAGGGGGAAAAAACTTCAAATATTTTTTCACCCATAAATACATCAGTATATATCTCTAAAATAGGAGTGATCTTGCCCCAGGGGACACTGGCCGTGTCTGGGGACATTTGGTTGTCACAACTGGGGTGGGGGTGCTCCTGGCAAGGAGTGGGTGGAGGCCAGGGATGCTGTTCAACATCTGCAGTGCCCAGGATGCCCCACCAGAGAGAGTGACCCAGCCCCGTATGTCTGCAGTGTTGAGGGGTAGGGACCCTGCTGTAAACAAACCGTAAGGACTAGCCACAACTGTTATTTCACCAAAAGAAATTAACGATTCCTTAATATCAGACATCTATTGTGTATTCAAAGTAGTCCTGTTGTATCTTTTTTTTTTTTTTTTTTAAACACATTTTCAAAAATGCACTTGTTTGTTTGGGTTCTGCCTTTTATTCTCTACTTTAAGTAACGTGAACTCTTGTTTCTAGTCCATGAGATACTGTTATCGAGTTAGTTCATGAAACTCCATTACAAGCAGAGAGTTCACGGTTTTTTTTTTCCTTTTTGTCTTTTTTCGTGACCGGTAACGGGATCGCAACCCTCGGTGTCGCGCCCGTACCGTGACCGGCAATGGGATCGCAACCCTCGGTGTCGCGCCCGCACCGCGCTCAACCAGTGAGTGGACCGGTCTCTATATGGGATCCGAACCCTCAGCAGGAGTGCCGCCACGCTCCCAAGCGCCGCACTCTACCGAGTGCGCCTCCAGGCCGGCCCGAGTTCATGGATTTTGTGCATGTTTTTTGAACCATGAATTACCTGGTGTCTGGTGGCTGATCCCTGGGTACCCTGGGCTCCTTGCGGGAAGCTCAGTGCTCTTTGTGCTGTTCTGGGACTGGCTGGTCTGTGCCTGCCACCCGCGCTGAGCCCCCATGCCCTCTTGCAGGCCATCATCTGCGCGATTTCTGCGGTCGACACAGTGGACTACAAGACGGCCGAAGAGAAGTACATAAAGGGACCTTTGCACAGCTACCGGTAGGCCACTCAGAGCCCTGTTTCCAAACCACTCACAGTTTATATATCTTCAAAGGTTTTAATTCCACTGTGTGCTGGTGGCTGTGACTCGACTGCCCGTGGCCGCGTCTTCCTCAGCAGGTGGTCGGTGCCTGGGCAGTGCATGTATCACATGCAAATATTAAATACACATGTCATAATAATAACATACTATTAAACGTACTAACAGTATTAAAACACATGTCAGCTCATGACCAAGGAATTGCTTCGTGGACCCAGTGAAGTTAGTAGTGAGTGTCCCTGTTCTCCAGGTGGGTCTGGGCAGTGGGCACAGGGTCGCCGAGTTGGACACAAGCCTACGGCTGTGGCTCGGCCTTGGGGCCCGAGTTCTGCAGGAGCGACATGGTGCTGACCGCTGGTCGCGTGCTTGGGCGTGTCTGTTTTTAATCTCTTTTTGCAAGGGCTGATGTTTGTGTTTTGAACTTTCTTCCCCTCTTGCTCCAGCCATGTGGCTGAGAAAACACAGCAGAGGAAGAAACAGTGGTCACCCCGGAGGGTCTCCATCCAGTCAGAAGAATGCTGCGATCAAGATGTTTCCCTTGGATTTGTGGCCCCCAGAGCCCTTAATCCCATCTCTGGGCGTGCTGCCAGGCCCTGCCAGAGCCAGGTGGGGCTCGCGGGCGGTGACGGGCTGAGGATCAACCACGGTCATGGGGCAGGGTCTCCGTCCAGGGCGGCACGCCAGGCCACACACCGCCCTGGACACGCAGTCACAGGAGCTCCACGGGGAAGCTAGAGGGGCTGCTACACGCCGCGTGCTGTGTGGTGCCTGCTGTAGGAGCCAGGGAGGAGGTGGTGTGGGGTGGTATCGCCAAGGCCTCCTGCAACACTGTCCAAAGAATGTTGAATTTGGCTTCATTTACGAGAGTTTTGACCCAGCTGAGTTAATGACAAGAAGGGTGTCTGGAAGCAGAGAAACTCGGTGATTTTGTCACTGGATCTCAGTGGTTTGGCCTGTCATGCTTGAATAAAGAAATGACCCAGAAGTGTCAGGTCAGAGCCGAGGTGTCTCAACCCCCAGGCTGGTGTGTTCTTGCTTCCTCCTGTCTCGGGAGCTTCCTGAGCCTTCCACTCTTTGCCCCATGGTTTTCCTTTCTCAAGGAAGCCGTTCTTCTGGGCGCGGCTTCTGCTTATTGTAAAGACCTCACGTGAACTGTGGGGAGCTGGCATTGGGTACCCAATGGAGAAGTTAATGAGGCTGAATGTACGACCTCTGCTTTATTGCACAGAAGCCTGATCTTAATACTTAATCCGGGAGTGGTAGCCATGATTTACCTTTAGCCTCTGGGGCGTCTCCCATTGCACCCTCGGTGGGACTGGATCTGTCCACACAGACGTCTGGTGTCAGTTTCCCTTTCCCTCTGTGGTTCCTCCTTGTTTCGTAATTATGTTTGAGCAGTTGTACCCAAATGTGGCTTTCTGGCCCTGCTGTCTTGCAGGGTTGTACTGTAAGCAGTTTCAGCACTCTGCACGCGCCGTCTTCCTGGCCGGCTGTATTTCTTCTTTCCAGTCGGTGCGTCTCATCTATCTCCTTGTTGCCGAGGGTTTTGCCAGGTCGCACATCAAAGGCAGTGTCCCTTGTTTATCCTACTTTATCCCGAGGCAGCCATGTTCCTGAGAGGGGTGGCCACCTACGCAGGTGTTAACGTGTTTCTTCCTTACAGGCAGGTCTCTTAATAAGGACAATTTAACATTTCGTGCTTTCTTGTAAATTATTTTTAAATTGTTGTAAAATACACATAACATAAAACTTTCCATCTTAGCCATCTCCCAGTGCGCAGTTCAGTGGCATCAAGCCCGTTCACCACCACCATCTCCAGGACGTCTTCATGCTCCCCAGCTCTGTCCCCATCCAGCAGCAGCTCCCATTCCATGTTCTTTGACACACAATGATTAATCACTAAAATATCAACGTTTGTTTTCTGAAGGGAAAAACAGATATTTGACAACCAGCTCCTGGAAGAGAGGAGTCGGCGCCACCGGTGATGAGGCAGCTGCCACCACAACCATGCAGTAAGCGGGGACCCTGTGTGCAGCATGTTTCCTGGAAGGCAAGGGACTGCGCAGAGCACTCGCCTTCAGAGCTGTTTGTCCACGTCCCTGCATCTTCAGCCCTTATCCCTGCACTTCTGAAACTTAGACTTTGTTAATGCACCAAAAGCCAGTTCTCTGTCCCCGACATCGTTTGGAAGGCAGGGTTCCCGAGAGGTTTTTGAAAGGACAAAAATGTGTGTTATTTTGTATTCTTACTGTGACTGTACAGTTTAACACGAGGTGCATGTCTGTTTTTTGTGTTGAGCATTGCATCTGATATTTAAGTAGGGGTTTTAAAAGAGTTCGATAGGAATATATAGCTTCGGAACCATCGATGTATTTTTCATTTTCGGGGTTTTTTTTGTTTGTTTTTAACCATTGTGTGATTTTCTCCTGACATGGTTCCTGAACCCGCTTGGCCACTCCTGTGTGTTTTTGAGCAAAAACCGTCTTTGTTAGAGGTAGAGCCAAATTCGAGTGGCTTCCTTGTATCGTGGTGCCTGCCATGACTGCTTATGGAGGAGGATGAGCGGACATGCATCTTCGCATCGCAGTCCCACGGGCAAGTGAGCGTTGGCCTGCTGCTGGGTGCTGCAGCCACCTGGCACAGTGGCACAGTGTCCCACGCTTCCTGTGCCCGTGTGGACCTCCACGGGCAGCTACGTCTGTGTCTTGCTCCTGCAGACAGGGGCCCTGGGTTCCAATCCTGGCCTGCAGTTCCGGGGCGCCTGGCTGGCTGGTCAGCCCAGGGTTCAAGGGGTCCAGGGCTGGGCGCTGGCTTTCGGAGGGTAGTTGTGTAAAGGTGTGAGTTGGCCAGTCCTCCTGCCCAGCCACAGATAGTGCATCAAAAGTCAAGGCCACAGGCTGATCAATGTGTTACTTATTCTGAGCTGATGCTTGAGACCATGTCTGGAAGTCAGCGCTGGCGAAGTTGGTCTTCAGAGCTGGCGTGAGGTGGGCCCAAAGTCAAGAGCCTGTCCCGCCCTGCCTGGTGGGGGTCAGTGCTGGCACCTTGGGTTCTTTCTGGCTTTTCCCCACCATATTTCCCAGCAGGAGTTCCTGGGTTGGTGGGTGTCGGGGCGTCACGTGGCAGCATCCGCGTCGTAGGGCAAAACCAGAATGCAGTTCCCATGGGAAGTGGAGTGGGAGCTGCAAGGATGCCCCTGGACCAGTCGTGAGCAGACCTGCCAGAAGCATCTCCAGCATGGGGCATGGGAAGCGGCAGCTGCTCCATGACTTGAGCACCATGCTCCTGCACTTGGACATTTTTGTCTTACGCGACTTGGATGAGCAGACCTGCCAGAAGCATCTCCAGCATGGGGCATGGGAAGCGGCCGCTGCTCCATGACTTGAGCACCATGCTCCTGCACTTGGACATTTTTGTCTTACGCGACTTGGCTCAATCCTAAGAGCACCAAACATAGACACGCACTGGGCCCTCGTGGTCTGTCATGTCCAAAGCAGGCGGCCAGAGCCCTGGGGAGGCCTAGGAGCTGCATGTGAGTGGGAGGGATGCACGGAGCCTTGACGTGCACCTCAGATGGGGCGCGAGGCCCTTTCACCTGCTTCCTGGGAGGGGACTTGGTGGTGTGGCCAAGATGGGTGCTTGCCCTCCCTGGAGGAAAAGTCCACTAAACAGTCCCCGGGGGATGTGGACCTGGGGCCTTTCCCATGGACGCTGGTCAATAACCTGTAGTCGCTGCGTAGAAGTCTGCACGATGTTCTTGGGGGTAAGAAACATCTTGGAGGTTTTGTGGAAACCAAGTTACCCTCAGGGATGTAACTCTGTCGTTGTGGGGTGTTTTTATTTTTGTTTCTTGGCTGACCTCTGCTGTGTGCTTAGGGTTGGATTGTGCGACTGTGCAGACTGGAATTAAATGCCTCCCTGGAGCTCTGGCTTTTCTTCTCTGAACCCCCTGATGGGTCCTGCCTCAGTGTGGTGCCACTTCTTGGGGAGGTCATGGCACAGTTTAGGAACTGAGATACCCTGCCATCCCTGATGCGCTCAGAGACTCTACCCCCAGGGCGGTTGGAGGAGCCCTCCCCCAGATGCGTTCAGGATGGGTTTCAAGAGGCTGCTTAAACATCGTCTGAGCAGAATGCACACCTGTTGGGAAACAATGACCAAAGTGTGGCCTGGACCAAGCTCAGGAGGCACTGAGGAGTCTCCAGAATGGGGACCCACATGTAGCATCTCAGCTCCTGCTGTTTCCCTTGGGAGTGGGGAACTGTTCATGCTCCCCATAGTCTGCTGGGCAGTAGGATCAGCTGACCTGACTGGCATGCCCAATAATGTTCTAGAAGGACCTGAGGACATTGGCCTTGCTGGTCCTGGGCTGGCTTGTCCTTCCTCCCTAGAGAAGCAGGCAAGATCTTGGTGCTTCTGAAGCAACAAGAAGACACGTGACCCACATTCACATGGGCTGCAGCCAGGGGACCCCCATCCACTCGCACGCCTGCCGCACTCCTGCCTGTATGGGCCTCCACTCTTCATCTGCCTGGTGCCTCCACATTCTGCATAGCAATGGCTTCACTCTGCTCCTGTGCTTCTGGCAGTGGACCCTGCTGACTCTCTGTCCCCTACACCTGGGTCTGGGTCTCCCCCTTGGCACTGTGGACATGTGGAGCCATATCCTCTGGCGGGGCCATCCTGGGCACTGCAGGTGCTGAGCAGCGTCCCTGGCCTCCACCCACTCCAGGCCAGCAGCACCCCCCAGTCATGACAACCAGAATTATCTCCAGACATCACCCAGCATCCCCTGGGGGCAGAATCACCCCCAGCTGAGACCCCTGGGTTAGGGGATTCCACAGACCCCCTAAAGACTGCATCCCATAATCACCTGTCCTACTGAGATCCTAGGAGGCTGCCCACATTTAAATCCATACATGGAGTGGGGAGGGAGAGGAGGTGAGTCCCAGAAGCTCGGGTTGCCCTGGTTTGTACCATCTGCCCCATTGGGAGTTTATTCTGGTGTGCAGTGTGAGCAGCGATCAAATTCAGTTTTTTTTTTTTCCAAATAACCAGTGCAGTCTCTTAATTCAGGCCTGCTGACACTGGGGCCAGAGCACTGTCCCAGGCACTGCAGGTGCTGAGCAGGTCTCTGGCCTCCACCCACTCCATGCCAGGATTAACCCCCAGGTGTGACAACCACAAATGTCCCCAGACATGCCCAGTGTCCCCTGGAGAACCCATCTGCAGACCACCAGGGACAGGCAGACTCTGTCCCTCGGCCCTCCCTCTTTGCACCTGTGCAGAGCTTCCCGCCTCCCCAGGGCTGTTCTGTGGGGAGCCGTCTGCTGCTGTCTCCCCTCCACCCACTGTTCCCAGCCCACCCCTTCACCGAACCTCAAAGACCCCCTGTGTCATTGTGGAGCTTTTCCTAAAGTCGGTTTTACTTGTTCCAGCCCAAGAACAGCCCAGAAAAAGAATCAAATTCTCATGGAAGTGGCACCACACCTCCCAGTAACCACTTCCTGGGAGGAGAATCCATTGGACGCACTCTGGCACCTCTTCAAGTCTATCATTGGCCTAAAACATTGATTTTTTTTTTTTTTGGTCTTTTTTTTTTTTTTTACTGACCGGTAATGGGATTGCAACCCTCAGTGTCGCGCCCGTACCGGGGACCGGCAACGGAATCGCAACCCTCAGTGTTGTGCCTGCACGGCGCTCAGCCAGTGAGCGGGAACCGGTCTCCACATGGGATCTGAACCCTCGGCGGGAGCGCCGCCGCGCTCCCAAGCAGCGCACTCTCCAGTGCGCCACCGGGCCGGCCCAAAACATTGATTTTTTAAAAAGTAATACATGGCCAGTGTAAGAATTTCAAACCACAAGGCCGGCCCGTGGCTCACTCGGTAGAGTGCAGTGCTGATAACACCAAGGCCATGGGTTCGGATCCTATATAGGGATGGCCGGTTTGCTCACTGGGTGAGCGTGGTGCTGACAACACCAAGTCAAGGGTTAAGATCCCCTTACCGGTCATCTTTTTTAAAAAAAAAAAAAAGAATTTCAAACCACAGAAAATCACGTCTATGCAGTGAGTCCACCTCCCCCCCTGTGCGACGGTCCCCACTGCCCCCATCTCGTGCTTCTGCCTTCCACCTCTGCCAGCCTCTGCTCCTCCTCCCTGCTCCCCACTTTGTTCCCCCCCCCTTTTCTCGCTGGCCCTCAGCTGTTCCTGGAGTGGTTTTCAGCACTCTGCTAACCAATTCACTTTCCACCCCTGCCCCACATCCATCCTGCTCTAGTTCCCCACTTCAGGGGTTGTCAAAGGGGCCCGTTTTCCTGAGCCCAACTCTTTCCCCCAGCCCCCCAATCATTCTGCCCGACATGCTGATCACACCTCCATGTTAGCTACCTGTTGCTGCATAACAAATGACCCCAGAACCTAGTGGGTGAAAACGACATTCTCTCTCCTGGGTTCTGCGGGTCAGGAATTCAAGAGCAGCCTGGCTGGGTGGTTCCCAGTGTCTGGTGAGGTTGCGGTCAGCTGCTGGTCGGGGCTGCACCACCTGAAACCTTGACCAGGGTGCTGGCATTGGCTTGTCAGGCCCCTCCATGGGTGGGCACCTGAGCATCCTCACAGTGTGGCGGTGGCTCCCCCAGGAGAGTGACGCCCACAGTGACACATGGCACCTTTCCCACGCTACTGGTCGCACAAAGTGGCCCTCGGTGATGAAGAGTCCATGCAAAGGCACAGGCGTGGACACAGGAGGGGAGCCCACCGGGGCTCTCAGATCCACCCCGTTCAGCCGCCACAGCAGTCTCCCGCTCCTGCCCCTGCCACCAGCACTGAGGCTAAGAGCAGCCAAAACCTTGTGGCTCCCTAGCAACTCCAGGAATGAGCCAGCATGATCCAAACGTGGCACACCAAGGATTCAAAAAGCACATTGCCGTCACCAGTCCTGTAAAAAAAAATCCAACAAAACACAAAAGTCCATGAGAAAGACAAATCCCTTTTGGGGCACCCTACAAAACACCTGCCCAGTCCTCAAAACTACCCAGGGCATCAGGAACAAGGAACGTCTGAGAAACTCTCTCAGCCCAGAGGAGCCTGATGGCGCCAAGGGGCACGAAAGGGACTTTAGGGGGAAACTGAGGACATCTGAGTGAGTAAAGTGGGGCATTCAGTTAATAACAATGTATCAATATGGGTTCATTAGCTGCGAGCTGGGTGCCGCCCACCCGGAGCCTCTCATTCATCGCCCAGGGACCCTGAGCTCCTTGAGCACAGAGCGCTGGGTCCCCCGCACAGGGTAGGAGTTCAGTAAATACCTGGTGTGGTTGTCCAGCCTTGCTACTCACCTGCCTTTTCCTGTATCAGCCTCAGTTTCCCCACGCGGAAAACAAACATCCAGCAGGATCGTCAAAATTTAATGATATGCAAGTAAAAAGCATTCTGCAAACCCTATTTTGCTAGTTTAGGTGGATAGTGTTAGTTTTTGTCATTAGTACTGGTCCTAACCCTGCCAATTTAAAAAATACTGATAAAGAGGGGGTGGTGGGGAAAAGGAGGGCTTGGGCTTGCTTGTCATCCCAGAGCTCGTCTGCAGAGTGGGGCGACATTCTGGGGAGAAGGATCGCGGACAGCGTCTCGCCAGGGACGCCAAAACTCCTGCCGAAACCCGGGATCGAACCAGGGACCTTTAGATCTTCAGTCTAACGCTCTCCCACCTGAGCTATCTCGGCCGGGCAGCAGGGGTCGCTCTCGCCCCACGTCCGCCCCGCGCCGCTCCTCCCGCAGGTCGGCCCAGCTCGCCCCCCCCCGCGAGCAAG